AGGTATTGCCTTAGTCTTTGTGCAAAGTCTCCTAGTGCATACGAGGATATTCGCTATGATAAAAAGTCTGGTACTGGTTTTCTTGTATTACCAAGCCGTCGTCGTCTTCGCGACTACAAGAATTATATTCATCCTCAACGTGGTTTTAATCGAGATATTATTAAAGAGTTAAAATCAAAAGTAAAAGATTTTAGTGATGTAGAAAAGTATATTGTGTTGTTGTTTGATGAGATTAAAATTCAAGAAAATCTTGTATGGGATAAACACACAGGAGAAATTATAGGATTTGTTGACCTTGGTGATATCAGTTTAAATTACGCAACTTTACAAAAAATTGATGCTGTAGCCACTCATGTTCTTGTGTTTATGATTCGCAGTATAGTTAACCCTTTTAAGTTTACACTAGCTAATTTTGCAACGCTTGGAATATCATCTGCTCAATTTTTTCCATTATTTTGGAAAGCTGTTGGTATTTGTGAAATGGAATGCAAGTTAAAAGTTATGGCTACAACTTGCGATGGTGCTTCTTCGAACAGAAAATTTTTTAAAATGCATTCACGCTTATCTAATTCGAATGTTAAACAGGATGTAGTTCTCACATATAAAACAATAAATTTATACTGTCCTGAAAGGTATATTTACTTTATAGCTGACCCTCCACATCTTCTAAAAACAACAAGAAACTGTATTTACAGCTCAGGCTCTGGTAAATGTACTAGATACATGTGGAATGATGGTTTATACATTCTATGGAGTCACATCGCAGACATTTTTAAAGAAGATCAAATATGTGGTTTACATCTACTCCCGAAATTATCGTATGACCACATTAAATTGTCATCTTATTCTGTTATGAATGTCAAATTGGCAGCACAAGTTCTAAGCACTACTGTAAGTAAAGTCCTTCTTAACTATGGATCTCCAGATACATTTGCAACAGCAAACTTTTGTTCAATGATTGACAGTTTTTTTGATATTATGAACATTAGTAATCCTTATGAATCAATTCAAAAGTCAAAACCATTTTTAGTTCCATTTTCTTCTCTTGATGACAATCGTTTGAACTGGCTTAAAGCAGAATTTTTGCCATATTTTGAAAAGTGGTTAAGTTCAATTAATACCCGTCAAGGTAAATTTACTCTAAATGACAAAGGTAAAATGTTTATATCATGGCAAACCTATGAAGGAATTAAAATTACAGTGAATTCTGCTGTTGAGTTGATAACATTTTTACTCTCTAATGGTGTATCTTTTGTATTGACAGAAAGATTTTGTCAAGATCCCCTTGAAAATTATTTTGGACATCAACGCCAAATCGGTTCCCGCAAGGATAATCCATCTGTCCGTGATTTTGGCTACAACGATAATACTATTCGAAATCAAAAGGTATTCAGACCAATAAAAGATGGAAATTCCTATGAAGATATTGACTTTGAGATAAACGAAGAACCAGTACCATGCAGAAAGCGAGTAAAAACTTCATTACAATAGGGTATTCATTCAAAACGGCTATTTTCATAGCCACAAATTATTAAAACACATTATTGGCAAAGTGAACAGGTAGCATGCAACGATATGCAATGTACGTTTTGGGGACACCCTTAATATATATCTTGCTGTATTGATAGATATATCTTACTCTAAGGAGCCTAATACAAGTTGGGGGAAGAAATTTATTCTAGATCTAAGCATGCAGGAGGAGGGGTAATAAAAAAGTGACATTATTTTTACTTAAAATATATCCGATTTTGCAATTTTCCGATAAAAATTCTACTAATTCCACTGTGATGATAGTTTAAATTTTTTTAAATGTGCACATCACATTGTAGCTATCCTCTCCCCTATGACATTAAGTAATACTTTTTGATCCCCCTCCCCTTAAGACTCTCACGTACTATTTAAACAGCCCCTATTTAAATAAATCATAAATAAAGTAACCCTTCTTCACCTTCTAGCATACACAGGCATTATTTATCATTAAAAAATTCAAAACTTTAAAATCCAAATTTATTGTAGGAATTTGTTAATTCAACGTTTTTCTCTATTTAAATAAGAAAAAGGGCAGTTTACAAGAGCCTTTCAAAGACAGGTTAATAATTTTAAAGTTTTCCCTTCCCCTAATGTCCATTGATTATGTCAACAGTATTAAGGCATTTTTTTCCTCATCTCTCCTCTCTTGTAAACAACTTGTCAAACTTACAGAGCTTCCCCTAGATCTAACAGAGCTTTACTAGGCTTCCCCTACAAAATTACATCTAATTTTATAAACTTCTCCCCTGATCCCTAAATACAAAACTACAATACAAACGCTTTATCAACAATTTTTGAAAATAACATCAATCAATTGATGTTATTAACAGAAAAGCCTAAATAAACCTTAATAGCAACTTCTTCCCCCTCCCTTAACACACACACTTTTTTCACACAATTTTCTTGCTTTTTCTTTCCTTAACATGCTTTAGGATCCACATGAATAATGATTGTTTTTTTACAAAAATTCCCTTTTAATTGACAACTATTTTACTAGTACTAATTTTAAAATTACCCTGTATACTTGGAGTAATTTCATGAAAACAGCAATTCTATTTTATTAAAAAATTATTATTAATATTCTGATACCATAATGTCTTTAGCCATTTGTAGCTATGAAAATAGCTGTTTAAAAAAATTGATATATTAAGATCAGGTAAGTGTATCTATTTGTCCAATGTGCAACCTATACTTGATTACTCTTCTTCTTTAGTGAAGTTCGCATTGACTTTGACTTAAGTTGTTTAACTTTAACTTTATAAGCTTGTAGATTATCCTTGACGTAGGAAAATGTCCTTGCTCTTACATACAAATTCAAGATGTCCTCAAGAACATTTAAACAAACCTCTTTGTTAACAACAACATCAGTTTCACTTTTGATCTTTGAAAAATTTGATAAAATATTTGTGTCTTTGAGAAGTGTTAGTACAATTTCTTTACTGTCAATTTTATTGATAGACTTTGCAGCCATATTTTTAAATGTTGTTTCAGCAGTAATAAAAATGGATATTGCCTCAATTTTCATTTTCCATAAGCCTGATCTGTTACGTGTGTTCACAAGTTTATGCTCAGGCAAATCATCACTTCCTTGATATTGGGCAGCAAGTAAAATAGACTTATACTGTTGGTAATACTCTTGCTTAAAAATATCTGAAAACCTGATGCGACGATATAACGTGCTAAAAACATACCCACTTAGATAGGCAATAACAGATTGATCTTTATTTGAAAGTAAACAAGATTTTTCAGATAAAATTGAATCACCTAAAACTGATTGACCAGAAAGATGTGACAATACATGGTTACATACCTCGAATCCAAGTAAGGTGGAACACTGTGTATTTAATCCTATAAAAATAGATTCAATGTTGTCAAAGATACATTTGTAAAAATCTGGATAAAAATTTTCGGCATTTCCTCGAAATAAAGATAAAACCGGTTTAATAAACTGATATGCTGTGTTAGATATATCGAAATTAATCACATAGGCTTTAAAATGATTTTGTATTGATTCAAAGCAGTTATCTGATGAAAGCTTCGCAACACTTTTTTCTAAATATATTTGAAAATTTTGAAGATCAAGTATTTCTTCTGGTATTTTAGATTTCTCAGTATCTTTTAAAACTTCCGAGTGAACTGATAAAGCATCTGAATGTTTGCAATTAGTATGACGAGTGAGACCCCTAGAGCTCAAACATATTTTATTACAAAATCGACATGAAAATGTTGTTTGTGGTGTATGCAAATCATATTGTTTTTCAACAACATCAGTTAACAAATCCTGGTCAATAACTGCAAAAATAGCATCAAGCTCATCTTGATTTAACTCGACAATGTGCTCAAAAAGAAATAAATCATCTGAACCTTCGGCCATCATTAAGTTTATTTTGCACCTTATTCCTGCGGGCCACCCGATTTTCAACTAAAACAATAAAAACCGTTAGAAACGGCCTGCGTTTCCAGACTATTCTTTTTATGACTATGGCTAATACGAGCAGATTTTAAAGGTATTTACATCTACAATGTGGTATAGAAATAGCATATTTGCATTGTGGGGAATTTGATGTATGTTTCCTAGAGACATGATATAAGTTAAAAACTTACTAACGTTTTACTATTTGACTGAAAATCTAATTGTTTATAAATATCAACAATTTGTATATAAATTTAAAAATCATTATTCGATTCCAGCGGATTTTAAAATGTGCTTTATAGCAAACACATAAAGTCATTTGTCATTATTATGTTACTCTAGGGAAGAGGGGTATAAAGTTTGACATCACATGTAAGGGGGTTTTGCCAAAAATTGACAGAGTTTGACAAAGAGGGGAGGGGGTTAAAAAATTGAGAAAAATCACAGGCATTAAATATGAACAGCCCCTTTTACTAAGTTAGAAAGTTTTTCAAATTTCTTAGAACGTTCTATAAATACCAAGAGCTACGCTTAACTTGGACATTCGCTAATTCGTACTATTTATCTGTTCCCATTGAGAGTCCAAATTAACGAGATTTCAGTGTATATATATGTATATATATATATCCATATATATATATACATATATATATATATATATATATATATATATATATATATATATATATATATATATATATATATATATATATATATTATATATATATATATATATATATATATATATATATATATATATATATGTTAGATATATTTTTATAAACACTTGAAGAATCATTTAATAACATTTTTTTACAATTTTATTATTTATTATTTAAATTATTAACAATTAATATCTTAAATATATTGTAACATAAAATCTTTTGCGTCTTTTTCGTAACTGCACATTCCGGAATGCTCCTTCCGTAAGAAAGGAGCATTCCGGAATGTGCACTTACGAATTTCGTAAGTATTCTTACGAAATGATTTTTTTGCAAGTTTTCGTTCGCAATGCTTTATTATGGAATTTTATTTATTTATATTTTCGTATAGTGCGTTACGGAATGTGCATTTTCACATGTGCAACTTCCACAGTAACAATTCTATTACGGTAGATAAAGATGTTTTGTTTTTTGGCGAACAACCCTAGTAAAATACCTTCTATACTTTTGCAAGGTACCGATGTTAATGATACTGGTCTATAATTGGCTTGGTTCTGCTTGTTGCCTTTTTTAAAAATTGGGGTGATATTTGATTTTTTCCAAAGCTCTGGAACCTGTGAATCACAAATTAATTTTTGGTAGATCATAGCTAATGGAATAGTGAATGCTGAAGCACAGTTGCGTAATATTCGTGGGTTTATGTTTATATATCCTTTCGACTTGGTTCCAATGAGTTTTTTTAGTCTTTCTTGAACTGAAGTCGCCGATAGGAGATTTAGGTCTATTGTGCAAGATACGTTTATACGTAATTCAAAAACTGGCAATGAATCTGTATTTTCAGTAGTAAATACAGAATGAAAGTAATCGTTTAGAATATCTGAGACTACTGCACCATCGGTTACAATGCTTTTATTGTCATCTTCGAGAGCTTGAAGTGAGTAATTTGTTTCTTCTTTTTGTTTAATGTGATCATAAAGTTTCTTTGGTTTATTTTTGAAAACAATAGCTAACTGATGTTCGTATCTTTGAATAGCTTCTTTTATTACCTTTGAAACATGTTTACAAGCTATTTTATGCTTACTCATGAGTGCATTGTGTGTTTTAGTTCCAGAAGCGACATATCGCCTCCAGAGATTACGTTTATAAAAAACTGCTTCTTTAACGGTGTGATCCAAGGTTCTTTTTTTTTTTGAATAGAACAGAAGTCACTGGAATGTATTTGCACACAGCTTCCATATATTTATTTACAAGTATTTGTAGTTTAAGCTTGCTGAGTGATTAGTAAAATTTTTGTCCCAATCGTAATCCATGATATATTCTGATATTTCGCTTTGTTCCAAATATAACGTGAATGAAAAGTAGCTGGTACTTCAAAGTTCATAGTTTCGAAATGACCAGTGATTATGACATGCGCTACAACTAGTGTACTGTCATCAACTACAAGTTCTTCATATGTTGTGTGACTAAAATTAAGTCACTGTATAAGAGCAAGGATGCGCATGCGCAGTTTCGAGAGATCGTTTTTCGTGGCTTTGATTAAAGAAATTACTTTCGTGAGGGTATCATCGTTATTATCTTGAGGTCGATAGATACATTTTAGGAGGAGTTTTTCATTACCGAACTTAATAATTCGCCAAAGTTGCTCAATGTTAGGTTTGTTTAGTTTTTTTATACTAGTTAACACAGCAGGAATAGTAGAATTAGTGTCTTTAAAATACTGAAGGTTGGATAAATGAGTAACACAAGACTACAAACGCTGCTAATTTTCCTTTTTTTAAGTTTAGTTTATTTTATTTTAGTGGTCAACAATTTAAAATATTTACAACAATCCGTAATAAGTTTATAGACTTTTGAAAAATCATAAATGCTAAATTACCAATGAAGATGTGCTGCATCAAGCACCTTTATACTAACAGTCTTAAGATACTCGTGCACATCTACAACACAAGTACCATACTTTAAGAACATAATAGAATACTGAAAATATATGTGAAGAGAGTTAATTTCCAGTTATGGTTTAAAAGTTATATATTCATCTAGTCATTAAGATTTATATATTCATCTAGTCAATTTTTGAGCATGTTAACTGAAGTTGCGTCAACTACTATTTGCGGCAGGGTATTCCACTGCAGTACAACACGGTTCGTGAAGAATTTCTCTTGGCATGCAAATGTGTACTCTTTGTTGTGCAAGTCTTTGATTATGACCACGCATAATATAATTTGACGACGAAGTACAATTAAACGGTACGTGAAAGTTTATTTCATCAAATTCACACATGAACATCAGAATTAAATCCCCTCTTATTCTTCTTTCTTCAAGTTTTGTAAGACCTAACATGACTCTTTACTGGTCGGCGGTGCGATGCCTTATCTCAGAAATGGTTTTTGTAACACGGTTTTGAACTTTTTCTAGCGTTTCTGTTGGTACAGCGACCATATGACGCTTGGATAGCGTACTCTAGGTAAGGACAAACATTCGTGGTGTACAGTTCTTTCTACAATGAAAAACGTTCACCGCAGCTGCTGAAACTTTAGCATTAAGTATAAGATCATCTGAGAATTTCAAGATCTCTCTCTAAATGTTAATTTTGATTGCAAGCGGCAGACCGTCTGATCCTGGCATAAAATAGTCTTGTTTTGATAATATTTTCCTCGGCCAGTATTCATGACTAGTAACGATGTAACTAAATTTATTTAAAAAGAAACGTTGTTGACGTCAAACTTTTCTTGACCTCCCCCCTCTCCTTGTCAAAAATTTTCAGACCCCTCCTCCTATTTTGTGACGTAATTAATGGACAGCCCCTAATGAGTAAACTAATAAATAAAAATGTCAGCTATGGCTATAGCTAGGTTTTTCTGTAATTAAGTTCTTAGTTTAAGTTCTTAGTTAAAATTTTTTTTAATTTCTTTTTTTGCAATTAAGTTTTTAGTTTAACCAGTCTTAACAAATCTTTTCAGTTTTAGTTAATAAATAAATTGATAAATAAATAGTTAACTTAGAAAAAAAATTATTTAAAGTTTTATTTAGCGTTTAATTACTAATCAACAACCAATAGACAACAATATTTTGAATGGATGTTTTTATTATCTTTTTTGGATCATATAGGAGTTTTTTTTTTTTTGTTATTATTTCTAATCTAAAATCATTTTATGTGAAGCCAGACCGTTAAGATTTTAGATTTTTGAAATATCCTGATCTTAAGTAATAATGCAACGACAACAACAACAACAAGAACAACAACAATAAATGATAATATTACTGTTATTATTTTTGTGATGTGTTTGTAGAATATTACAGTAAACATTAAAGAAATGTGATGAGACCAAAGCTAATATTTATAAATAATTGAATTATTTATAATTATAAATAATTGAAAACATAAAAAAAATTTTAAATAATTCTTTTGCTTATTAAAAAAAAAAAACATTTCACTTGCTTGTTTTTTTAATAGTTGTTTGCTTTTTTAAGGAGGATTCCCAATCTTCTTCTTTATTTACAAACTGGTAAAATTTTGAAGCATAAGAAGAATTTCCAATTATATCAACAAGAGCATCTTCTGAAGAATTTATTAAATCTTTCAAACTCTTACATTTGTTAGCAACATGCTTGTAATTTTTGAAACTTATTCCAGGAAATTTTTGAAGAACATCCAAAGGTACCACATTGTACAATAATTCATTAAAAGGTTCCGTTTGATCTGCACTAACTGATATTGCATAATCAACATCAGGTTCATTTGTATTCGACTTTAGATCTTCAAAGATCTCAGCTGTCAAACTAGGATTCTGGGACCATATAATTCGAAGCAATGGAAAATGAATAATAAGAAGTGAAAGTTTTGAAGAAATATTTTGAAAACTGACATCATTACTTAATGACTTTTTACCTTGTAAAGAAAATGACTTTCCTTCATCAAATTCTATTAATAAAATAGGTTTCTTATAGAATCTAGTCATAGCTAAACACTGTGAATATAATCGACCATTGTTTAATGAACCAATAAGATCAGTAATGCTTTTCCTTTCAACACACATTTCAGGACTTAAAATATAGTCTCCTACCTCTAGAGTTACAGGAACAATATCAATTCCACGTTTATATATTAGTGATGGTAGTTCACTTCGAAATTCTCTCATATCTACTATAATCTTTTTATTTAGTTGAATATTCTCTCTGCCTCCAGCATTTCTAGTAGTTACTAGCTCATTAGGTTTCTGCCGCAATGTTGATTTAGCAATACTAGATTTGGCATCTCGTTCTTCTGGGACAACCATTTCAGCTTTTTGTTTTATAAGTAATTCAAAAGACTCCTTTTCTTTTCGAAGATTAGTTAAATAGCGTTGCTCTTCAACTGATCCGTTGTAAATAAGAAAATAAACATGAAGTGGTTGCTCTGGCATAGATGCTTTGAAAATTTCTAATTGACGAACAAAACGAATATGAGCATCGTATAACACTACATAATTTGGTTGCAGCTCATACAACTTGCGTAATAAGCTGTAGGGATCTGTAGAACCAGACAATGGATGAATAATGATTGTAGATTCTTTCAAAAAATCAATTTTCTGATAAGAACTTGAAGCTGTTTCAAAATCCAAATTATTTAAAATATCATTGTTTAATTTAGATTTCTTTTTTTTTGACTTATCTTTCTTAGTATTTGAAGTTTTCTTTGGAAAAGTACTTTCATATAGCTGTGACATTGTTTCTCTTAATCCACAACATAAAGCCTGTCTTAGTTGATAACAAGTTCTCTCATCAAATGCGCAAATCAAAACTCTACATTTCTCATGGGATTTATTTTCATCAGTTGATGTATTTAAGTTGTCTATCTCATTTAAAATTTCAATTAAAGCTTCCCATTTTGGACTCACTTCAACAGAAGACATTTCAAAACTATCTAGTGATGAACTCGAACTTTCACAACCATAAACTCTAGCTTTAGCACTTTGAAATACTAAATTTGCAGCATCGAGAAACATCCATATTGAATTTTTATTTTGAGCATTGCTGCTTAAAGATTGAAGAAATTTATAAAATGTAATGCAATCGTATTGAGTCAGATATCCTAATAAAATGCGCAAAATCTTCAAATCAGCAACAAGTTGCTTTGCTTTAGAGTTTAACTTGTTCCAATGCGGATCAAGTTGTATTTTTAAAGTCTTATCAAATGAATTGGTCAGACTGTTTTCTAATGTAAGATCTTCAGTATCTAAAAACTCAACAGACTTTTTTAATTCCTTTAATGACACTTCAATCAACTCCATCAAAGACAATTGTATTTTTTTCATGTAAGCTGTCAAAACAATTCCAATTTCAATAACATCAATTTTACTTTCTTCAAAAACTGCAGCAATATCAGAATGGAAACGAGGACGAAGATAAAGTTTTTTTAAAAAAAGTTGTTTCATTACCCGTTCAACTTTACAGTACTCTGTCAAAAAAGATGTAGGAGAATCTGAAAATGCTTTAATAAAACCATCACTGTTACTTTCCCGATACATTCGCATAATGAAACTCTCTTGACTGGTTTCAGCAACTTTATGTGCTCTTTGAACTAGAATACCAGTTATATAATCAATAGGTATTTTTTTTGTAAGCATATCGACAACTAAAATTCTAGAAGTTACAAAAAAGACACCGCCTTTTAAATATAAATTATTTCTTTCTTGTGAAGTAACTTCAGCTGTGATAATATTTGGTAAATGTGACACACCTTTGGATTTAAGTTCATCAATGAGAAATTCTTGTTCTTCAGAGAAACTGTTTAATACTAAAACTAAATTTTCAGGTTTGCAAAATGTTTCGATTACTTTTAATAGAATTCTATCGATACCCAATCCACTTGCAATAATGAGTAAACCATCATCCTTCATCAATTCCAAAAATATATTTGATTCATACTTTAACAATGTATCAAATGCACCTGACATCTTTGCTAAAATATATACATATATATTTCTATAGTAAAAGCTTTAAATTTACAGTTTATGGTAAAAAAAAATGGCTCTTAACAACTCTTTTTCTTTAAAAATGAAAAAAAAAAAATACACTTTATGTAAAAAACATAAAATTAAATTCAGGAAAATTTTCCCACCTACCCTAAGCTTATTAAGACCACCCCCTCCCCTCATGTTTATTAATTCTTGTTATCAACAAAAATCTAAAAACTAAACAAAAAAAATTCAGTGTAAATTGCCCTTAAAAATTAGAAAATAATTATTTCAGTAATCAATAAAAACAAAAACTTTGAGTGTAAACAAGCTTTAGAAATTGTTAACCTAGTAAATCTCAATTTGTCAAAAATGAACTTTTGGTTTATTTCTCACTAAAGTATAAAACTTATGTCAACATATTAAATCCAATAAAAATTATGATAAAATATCTGTTAGAAAATATGCATTTGACTGCAAGCCACGCTAGAATTAAATAGTTTTATGGATGTTTTGTTAAAAATATTAGTTTAGAATTATAAAAAAAGATTTTTTATAAAAAATTATTGTAATATGGTTTCAGATTGGAATTTTTCTCGAACTGGCCAAGATAAATAAAGTTTAGAAGAATAAATATTCTCACCTCCTTTTATTAACCCACTCCCACCATTTATTAGAGATCTAGACTAAAATTCCAACTCTACTTTATTCCTCCCCCCCCCCCTTGTGTTAAGAACTCAAGAGTACATAGACTTACAAATAGGTAGAACATACAAGGAGTGCTCCTACATCAACTGACAAATAGGTATAAATGCGAGGAGTGCTGCAAATTCTGCTTAATTGTACCTATTAAAGATGACCATGCAAGAGTGTATATATATATATATATATATATATATATATATATATATATATATATATACTCATATATATATATATTTATATATATATATATATATATATAAATATATATATATATATATATATATATATATATATATATATATATATATATATATATATATATATATATATATATATATATATATATATATATATACTGTATATATATATATATATATATATATATATATATATATATATATATATATATATATATATATATATATATATATATATATATATATATATATAACACGGTTTGAAAATTTTGACTTTTTTGCCAATTTAATATCCCAGAATTGCCCTCTTGATGGTTGATTCTATATATAATTCCCTTTGGACAGTCATTTAGAATATTCTCTTAAATAATCATTAGTAATTGCTACACAAGTAATTCCCTTCGGAGCAATATTTGTTCTCTCAGACAATCATAATTGATTGCAAAACTATTTCCTTGGAGACAAATTTAGCACAAAGAATTTGCACATAAATAAAATAAAAAGATGTAGCACTAAACTTATGATAGTCAAGATATGAGAAACTATAAACAGTTTAACATTATCTATTTAATTTTAATATATTTAATTTATAAACGTAAATAAAAATTACAAATATGAACATGACTTTCTTTCTTTATATCACACTAAAAAATATTACATTTACAAACTAAGTAAAAAGAATAATGCATAGGTATTGAAATCATTGTTATTTTTAGCTATTTTTAGAAAAAATAAAAATGACTACATATTTCAAAGACCATGATGATTGCAGAAGGACAGTGTGTGTTATTTGTATGAAAAAAAGTGAAATTTTAAAACATTTCATTTTCAGGATGAAAGAGTGCCACTTGGAATTTGTTTTACATGCCGTTGCAACCTGAAAAAATTGGGTGATAGAGCTAATGCCTAAAAAGTAATACAACTTTACATTTTTAATTCCATTGTTGTGAAGCCATTAACAAGACTTACAACATGTTGTGATTGCATTATTTATCAAATCGCGAAGGTGAAAGGCAAAGAAAAACATCCATTTGAAAAGGGTCTTGCATCAAAATCTTTGCAAGAAGAAAGAAAGTCAGTTGGAAAACGATGCACAGAATATTTGTTTATCATTGCTTGTGGAATTTCTCATAATTGAAGTGAAACAACTTGCCCTGCAAACTTATATCAATTTGCATTGGAAGATTCTGTGGGCGCAGAACAAGATGCTTCATTTGTCATTGCATTTTAAGAAGCATCTCCAGGCAGAACAATTTGTCTTGGTCAAGCTCATGGCAAACCTCTTCTGATAAGAAAAGGTTAGTTATTTTATTATTCTGAGAAATACAATTTATATGTGAAGTAACTGTATTAGCTTTCTTTCTTAAGGAACACCTGCAGCTCATTCACTCTTTTAAGGCCCTTTGACAACAAAAAATATGGTTGATATTTAGTAGAGCACTGGGCTTTCAAACAACAAAATCAGAAAGCTTGGATCTTTTCTAAACCAAATTAGTCCAGTTTGCCTTCTTGAGCCAAATTTCTAACAAAAATTTGCATCAGCAGGATCTAGTTAAAAGATTTTTTTTTTCTTAAATTGCCAGATTTTAATGAGGTTTGTTCATTGTATCATTATAAAAACCCTGAAGGAAAACATCACAGTTTCAAAAGATTTAGTCGGGCACTGTGAAACTGGGATTTGATGGTGGAGGGTCCTTTTTCATAGCTAGTTTGAGTCTAATTTCTGAAACCAAACAGAACAGCAAAGTCGAGTAAAAATAGTCAATTAAATTGGCGTCAAGTAAAAATTTTAAAAGCACAGGTGTCAAAAATCAACTAATTGTAGCAATTTCTGAAAATATTTTTCTAAAAACCCCTGAAACATTTGGTAATATCAAACTGAAATTGGACCTAATGCAAGTTAATGAATTAATTGAAAAATTGATTCTGTCATGTGACATGAAGCTTGCAAATATTAACTGTGGAATTCAGTTTCGCAGTACCAAGCATCCTTGCTGCTGGTGCAATATTGAGTCGACAAATTTGAACAACTGTGGCCAATTCAGAACATTTGGAACAATCAGAGAGCAACATCAAAAGTTTATTTTATCTGGTGCTGATTTAAAGAAATCAAAAGAATTCGAGAATTCTGTTCATCCACCAATACTTCGATTCCCAGATGACAAGCTAATCTTAGAAGTTATTCCTCCAATGGAACTCCATTTGCTTCTTGGCGTTGTTAACCATCTTATTAAGCATGTGGTTCAAGTTTTGCATAAACAAAAGAATGGTTTACTTCAGTACATATACCATGGTGGTCACTTCAATGGCAATGATTGCATGAAGTATTGGGAGATATTTAGCTTCGAAATTACCAAATTTTCTCACTTACTTACTTAAATACTTTGTTTTGGAATTGTAAAGCCTAAATTAGCTCAAATAATTTTAATATATATTTTATTATATTGCTATAAAAAATTTTTAATCCAGGATTTTAAAATCTATTGTTTTGGAGTCCCCAATATATATAAAATCAACCCTCAAAAAGGTAAATTTGGGATACTTAGTCGGCAAAAAAGTCAAAATTTAGATAAGTCTACTGCCGATATAAATTTGTGTTGGTCAAAGAGGAATGTACTAGCTGAAACTTTATTAAAGTATGATTTATTTAAGTTTGTTTTAGTTTTTCAGCTAGAAAAATATTTTAAGTTTTTCAACTAATACAATATACATTTTTTAAATTTGTGGCTATAAAGTCAATATACAATATACATTTTTTAAATTTGTGGCTATAAAATAACCACAAATTTGAAAAATATATATTTAAAAACATTTGCACTTAGGACATCAAACTAAAACATTATAACATATATATTTTTATATATATAATAAAAACAAACATTCGTAAATTCTTTAATAATATTATAAATAAGTGTAAGAAAATTAATTCATGCTAAATTAGGCTTGTGGTAAACATTTTGCGCTACTAATCAAAAATATATTGCGAAACAAGTAAAATTAAAAACGAATTTTTAAAACCCAATTATCTTATATCATTTATGTTATATCAGGTATGTTACAGTAACACAAATTTTGCAATAAATTTTTTTCGGTAATCTACAGTCAACCGGCCTAAAATAATTTTATTTTAATGCGTGTTTTTGTCAGTGCTTTTTAAACATTGAGAATATTAATTGAAATAATAAGAGAAAAAAGATTGTTGCTCCCTGCCAAACCCTCAGTCGATGTAGCGGCACTTCCATTTTTTCTGATATTTCTATTTTATTTTATACCATTCGGGTGTATGGCTGAGTAAAAAAAACAAAAAAATTTAGAAAGTGGCGTGTCTCGGACATACAAAGTCAACACCTTATCCAAATAAGCTAAACGCACGTATAAGTAGGAAAACAATTAACATACTTATTTTTAAATTTTTTCTTTTTTTTTTATATAAAATATAAACTTAATTATAATTAACTAAATTGATTGACTTATTGCAAAACTAATTATTGAATATTGCATTGTCATCAAGCAAGAATATCTATGCAAAATTTGAAAAAAATCTATCATCAGGAAGTGACTCAATAATTGATAGCAAGATTTTATGCTCACAGACAAACCGACGGAGACAACGAGTTCATAAAAGCATTGAGAAAACAACAACAACAACTACAAAAATATGGACTTTATGTAATTCAACGGCCAACTGAAACGAGGAATTATCATTATTATTATCACTGACGGATCAGTGAGTGATGGAGGGTATGTTCCCCCCTCCAGAATCTGAAAGTCCTAAAACATCTTAGAAATAGAAGACCTTATTTTCTTTCAGGAGACGCATATGTAATACAAAATACCAAAACATTTCAACACCTTCCCCTCCCCCCACACACACATATGCCCCCCACCGCCGCCAAAAACTCCTGGATCCGTCACTGATTATTATTGTTATTATTATTGGTATTAATATAAAATAATATAATGACTAAATTTAGAAACAAATAATAATAACATTCATAAGAATAAAAAACATGGTGACAGTATTTTTAAAAGTAACTTTAATTATACAAAATAAAACTTTTAGTCTTCGAGTACTTTTTTAATTTGTCTCACTTAAAAACATCAGAAATCTTTTTAAAGCTATTTTGTCTGATGAAATTTCACTTTACTCAAAAGTTGACTACTGACTCCAATGTAGGACAATCTACTCCGGAGTAAACGGTCCATCGGAGTAAGATGGGACAGTTTACTCAGACGGGCAGTTTTCTCAGTGACAGACCTAAAAGTTATGATTTTTATAAGTTGTCGTTGTCGCCGTTTTTAGTAAAATTTCAATTGTAATGATTTAACGATATTAGAATTTTGAAGAACAATAAAATATCGTTATAATATATATATATATATATATATATATATATATATATATATATATATATATATATATATATATATATATATATATATATATATATATATATATATATATATATATATATATATATATATATATACATATATATAATAATAACGATATTAGAATTTTGAAGAGCAATAAAATAGTACACTTGCAGGCTACCTCTCCATAGTGCACTTGCAGACTGCCTCTCTCTAAATCAGTTGATGTGTGTAGGCTCCACCACGTCCATCACTAAATCAGTTGTTGTATGTTTGCTCCACTGCGCCTATCTCTATGTCAGTCGAAATATCTACACATTTTCTAACCTTAGCCCTAAATAACTTATTGCTCGGTAAATTATTAAAGTCGTCAAAACCGTTGCGAATGGGATATGATTTAGACACAACTTTACGAAAATTATTACGAAAACGTCACGGTATAAAATCCTTTATATATATTTTTTAATCTTGTATATAATTTTCCCGATTTAAAAATTTTTATATTAATCTTTTGATTATCATACATACACACACAGATTTATTTATAAAAGACTTTTTGTAATTATTTTTTTTTATATATAAATTATTTTTATTTATGAGT